TGTGTGTTTTCTCTTTTCTATTCATGTATTTTTTTTTTAATTTTATAATTTTTTTTGCATTTACTTTTACAGTCCCATCTCTAAGCTGAAGAGGTACAATTGCAAAAAGCTGAAAAATAAATTAATAAAGTCCAAGAATGGGGGAAAAAACGGGGGGGGGTTGTACTAAAACACTGTCACTTTGTTGTCTGACTGCTCGCTCTTACTTTTTTCTTTGAACAAACCAACAAGAGACAATCTTCTAGCTGAGTTTGCTTGTGTTTTGAGGTAGCGTTCCTAGTTATGTGTCAAGAGGTTTGTTTGTTTGTTTGTTTGTGTTTCCTTCTTGGGAAAGGAGTCCCTCTGTCAGATTCTGTTTCTGAATTGTCAAAGCCCCATTCCTGCTGACGGACAGAGGGGTAAGAGGTGGGGAAGTGTTAGGGGACACAACATGGAGGAGTTTGTGCTGTTTTAGAGCAAACTCTGCCCATCCTGGAGTCAGTATGTGTATGTGCGCGTGTGTGTGCGTGTGTGTGCGTCTTTTGTCTGTTTTTTGATCAGGTAAGATAAGTTTCCTCAAGTCGGAATTTCCTTTCGGTCGGAAAGGGGCAATACCAGTCAGGATCTGTTTTGCCAGTTTACTGCGTGTGCTTCTCATCAGTGCTGACCATGTTCTAAAGCATGCCGGGTTTAAAGTACGACAGGCGTAACTCAAATAACTACGTGTGACACAGCCAAGACTCATCACCAGGAGCATTTTAGCTTCTTTCAGCTCACAGTTTTGCTTTTTTGGCCCACAGCGTCAACTTTGTGATCGCGTAGCAACAAAAGCAAAATTCTGGCTCTGGTAAGTTGTGAAAATATGTGACTTTGGAACCAATATTAGGGCTGAATCTTTTATAGGTTACAAAATGACATCAGTGACTAATTCATACAAGCCACATGAGGTTTCACCATCTACTTGCTCAAGAGACGGGCAAAGGTGGCGCAAACAGCTAAACCTTCTCCCAGAAGTCATAACAAGAACAGGGACTGTTATGAATATTAGACTTATGAGAGGATGTTTTTGGATGCCCCAAATAACTGTTTGTCAGTAGGTTTGCCTTTCTTCTTGGAGCTCTATATCAAAGTGAAATGAAACCAGTGGGGAAACGTTGTAGAAAATGGTCAGCCATAACAAGCACACAAGCAACAGGTAAACATGTCTGAAACACTGGTATGGTCCTTTAAACAATGTTAGAAACCGTGTCGGTTTTAACTCAAATGTTAGCGTGCTGGCAATGATACTGTTTTTATACCACGTGGCACCTCTCACTACCAAACTCTGTCCACTAGCTGATACAACTTATTGGCTCAATCACTCAAATTGCAATAAAAAAAAAAACAGAACAGAGAGGAAAACCAGATGAAAATGAAGAAATAAATGATTTTTGTCTCTGTCTCCGGCTGCAATCTGTGTGAGCCATTCTTTCTACATTCTTACTTACAGAGCGGGCGTGGCGAGCGGCACAGGCGCGCCTCAGTTTAAACTGTACTGTCGTCTCTATTGTAACGAGACAAGAAGGGTTCAGGTGAAACTTCACCTGAGTTCTAAAATACTTCAAGTCCTTCTCAGTGAGCTCATTTGCTTAACGTGGCTCTATACTGCATTTTGGACTCCGCCCCTTCCTGTTTGTTTGGCTCAGTCACTGTGACATACTGAGCTACATGTTAGTACTTCGTCTCATTAAGTAGCTGTAGATTTCTGCATTAAAAAAGCTAAACAATAAGATGGGGTGAAATTCAACTATTTTCCAATAAAGACTCAGAGTGTGGATTCTGGGAAAAATAAAGAAAAACGTTTTTGAACAGAAGCGAGCAAAACGAACACAATGGAGACCAGCGCAAGAGAGGGCAACATTACATTCCCGCCCACTCCAAAATCACTCTTCTACCAGAGGACAGAAGAGCAACGACAAAGCATGAAAACGTGGTGTGAAAGAGCAAGAAGGGAGAAAACTCTGACTCCTCACCATCCACTGTTTCTGTTTTTTTAGATTTGCATCAGATGTTCTCAGTTGTTTGCTGAAATATTTAATCGATTAGTGCAACAGTACGTCCCCAGATGTCACTTCCAAACAAAGCTTGCTGTACTAAATAAGAATGAAAAATAAAAAAAATGTCGTTCGAACCACTCCAAAAGCCCGCAGGCTGAGGGATGAATCCTGAATAGCATGTTGGTGGCTGTGAACGGAGCGCTGTGGTTTAGAAAGAGGTGGAAACTTAACAGAGTCGAGCTGTGACGTTAGCGCCTCTGGGCAAAAATACAAGCGCAGACGAGGTGGAATAGATTTTTCCCTGTTTGTTGATGAGCTGGTGGGGTAGCCGATTAAGCTTGTACCAAGCACAGGTAAGACATTAAAAAGACAGTTATTTGGCAGTGTCCTTCCACAACTTGGCTAAGCGCAACCTTTCTGTCTGATGGTTCTTTCCCACTTTGATTTTTAAGGTTTTTTTCTCCAAAAGTACAAAAGGTTAGAGATCACATTTCGAACATGTTATGTACAGGTTAGAATATTATCCCAGCTGCGTTGCTGTAGCTCCCATCTTTTTCCTCTAAAAGATTTGTGGATTTTCTCCACTGGGTTCTCATCCTACTTTTATCTGCTTATTTTTTCCTCAACCACATCACCCAAACACATCCCCTGACTTTAAAAAAAGGAACATTTAAAACCAGCGAACACAGACGCGCCTGCATTCACACATACACACAACAAGCACACGTGTAGCCAACAGGGAGCATCTGAGGTGGCACGGTCAGTGCACAGGTAATAAATATTCACATTCAGAGAAGTCCGAGCTAGTTCCTGTGTAAGTAAAACACCTGACACAGTACAGCTACTCTGTAGGTGGACCGCTAATATTTAAAGTCCCAACCTCCAGGTGAGAAAGGTCGCATTTTCATATGCCAATATTGCAGGTCTGTAAAGCAGTCTCATAATGTTTGGCGCTTCGTGGCAATGTCGTCAAAATAAGACGAGGAGAGGAGGGTATTTCAGGGCACACGGCAGGCCAGAAGCCACAGGAACGGGGTATGACACAAAGGTTATCCGATTACCCCGGTGGCGAGCTTGGTCACCATGTGCACTTGAGGATCCTCTCTCGAGTTAAACATAACTCCCTTTTGGCCATTTCTCTGTTTCAGACTACAGAGGCTCCACTCACACGTCAGGAAGACCGAGCATGTTTCCCCCAAAAGATGGAAAAATGGGACCCGTTTCTTCTCTACACCAGCAGACCGATCTCTCTCCGCTTAGGAAAAAAGAAAACAGCATCTTTGTCATCCTGAACTCATTCAACCATCACACCAGAAAACACAAAAAAGGAAAAAAAAACTACCAAAGCCATAACTCAATACCTAAAAAGAAAAAAAAAATACTTTTTCTTAAAAAAATAAAAAAATATTCAGGACTCTCAGCAATTTTTTTCCTATTATATAGAAGACCAGCAAGCAAAAAAAAGGAATACTGAGGTAACTTTACCCTGAGGTAGGTTTTTTCTTTTTCTTTTCTAATCTGTTCTAATCTTGGCGAGAGCGTCCAAGCATCGACCCCGCCCCTCATTATCATACGCAGGCAGGGTCTGGAGGCTCCGCCCACAGGCCTTCAGCAGACAGGGAGAGAGAACGAGGAAGCTGCTCCCTTCATAACGACATTACCATTGCTGAGCTCAAGGCAAGGAGCTTTGGAAGACTTTGCTTTTCGTGCTCGACCAAGGTCAGCCTCGGACTGCCTTCATCACTGCAGACATTAAAGGCATTTTTATTTAAGAGAAAAAACGCAGGGATGGCTGAAGCACCCGACTCTCCGTCTGAGACTGACCTTGACTTTCTGCACAAACGTAATGAGCATAATGTCTGTCGCTGACACACTTACTCATACTTGTTAAGCAAAGCCGTCAATACATTCACACCAGGGGCCGGGCTAACTCACATATCATATATATATAATATATATAAAATATGCCGTTTGGGGTGCAGGTCGCTCGCCAGCGAGCACAGCTGCTGGCAGTTGTTTTTTTTAATCTAACACGTGAGCTAAGCCGCTGCAATAGAACTGCAGGACCAGCTGCGACCTCCACTCCCGTTACTGTCTCTTGCCGCGCCTTCCGCCACATAGCTAAATATTGGAAGGGCATCTTCAGTGCCTCCCCAGCCCCGAGCCTTATTGTAGGCTAAATGATGCTACACAGTACAGGCAAGGGACTAAGAAAAATAGAGAAGACGTCCTCGTTTTTTTTTTTAAAGAGGAAAGGCAAGGCGGCCAGGCGCAGCTTTTTTTTTTTTTTTTTTTACATTTACATGAAGATTATATATTTACAACCTCATATTTTCTCTTTTTTCCTTTTAATCTCTCTACTATCCTGAAAGGTTTTTAAAGAGCAGTGTTAACATCTGCGGCCCCTCTTCTACGCTCTCATTTGGCCAGTAGGTTAGGGGCGGGCGAGGCAGTGCCAGACCCCACACCTATCCTCCTGTGCCACTACAGCAGTTCCCCTGTTCCTTCTCCCAGCTCCACCTCACTGCATTCTATTAATAATAGCTCTGAATAAAACATTTCTATACATATATCTCTATGTTAAAAAAAAAACCACCTTTAAAATATAGGACTGACTGCAGATGGTTGGAGAGGTCTCTTGAAGGCGATAGGACAAGAAGGCACCTGCTAGTGTTCCTGGGAAACGCAGATCTGCTATAAATCGGAACCCACCATAGCGTTGCTTCATCCATACATGGAGAATAAAGTCGGCCATGTTGTTTCGACTTATCTGGGTGGGATCCCATAAAGTTAGAGCAGATGAGCTGCAGCCATACCGAGGCACACTAGGAGGAAACTATACCCTCTCTCTCCATGTTCCTCCTTACCCTCATCCCACCATCCTCACTCAGTTTCTCTTCTGGCCTGGAATCTGATCTCTGTTCTGTTTCTTTTTTCTTAATCCTCTTTTTATTATTTGTTTCATCTTTTTTGATTTCACTCGTCTTTGTTCTTTGTCTTTCTCTGTGATTATTGGGCGTACTCTCTCCCTCTTTATATCTCTCCCTGTCTCTCGCTGGGTCCGTGTGTCGCTCTCATGTATCCGTCCGTCTATCCGTTCGTGCATTTGTCTGTCTGTCTGTCCTTCCGTCAGGCAGGGGGCCCGCGGCATGTGAGAAGGGTGCGGGGACCCCTCACTTCCTGCGTGGCTGGTGGTCCTGAGTCAGTCCCTGCGTAGGTCTGCCCATCTCTGTGAAGCCCGGCGAGTGAGGGCCAGGGCCCATGCCAACTCCGCTTTTCTGTGTCTGTTTGACCTGGGTCAGAATGTCTCTGATCTTTCTCTGGGCCAGCTAGGAGACAGAGCAGAGTTGAGAAGATGAGCTGCATAAGTTACGCCTTTTTCCCCTGCTGCAGGGAGACAAAGTTAGCAACACATTAAATATAACAGACAAAACTGCAACTTCAGAGTTTGGTCAATTTTAGGTTTTTAGAAGGCATCAAGAAAAAGTTCAAGTACACAAAAATGATATTTTAGACAATCAAGGATGACAAGAAGATGAACTTTCTGAGTATCAGCAGCATGAACATATGCACCATTAAAATGAATCAATGTTAGCACAGATACTTAACCTCATAAATGCAGGAAGACAATCACATGCCATTGGCTACTTATAAATGCTAACATCTTTTTGGTAGCTAAGCTAACATAGCTTAGCATAGCGAGCACACAGTGCTGAATAAAATAAATATGACTAAGCCATGAATGTGTTATAATGTATGAGGTGTTAAATACGCAACAGGGCACTGAGTAACCATTAGCACCACCTAGATGTGAGTTCAAATTTCAACCAATCAGAGAGGTTTTTTCTTTTTTTTCCATCATTGCTAATTAGAAGTGGTCACTGAATTTGTCTCACACTCACACTTTTTGGATTATGAGAGTCAAAGAAAAATACCTGCAAACAAAAACTGAGACCTAATTATGTGTCAAAACAATTAAAATGACACATTACAAAGGTCATTGTAGCAGTAGTGATACTTCATAGTTTATAACCATAGAACAGTTTGTTGAGAACATGATATATGAGCACATTACAAAACAGTAAAGGTGTACCTGGCTAGCATAGAAATGCCCATTGATCTTGACGATGACCTGGTCGTTTTCATCAGGTGTCTGTTCTCTGGGAACCACTACCTCAGCTGCTGTCAGGTTTTGCAGCTCGTTCACCTGGAGACACGAGACTTGGTTAGTGCGGCAGCAACAGTCCTTACTTAAAGCACCCTGATGTGCAGAATATGTTACTACTGGAAGTACACCAACGTATACGGTTTTGTGGCTTACCGTCTTGCCTCCCTTGCCAATCACTCTTCCTGCAGCAGCAGCTGCCATCTTGATGTGAGTCTCAAGTTTGACTTCTTCCTTTGGCCCAAAGAAGTTCTCTTCCTTCAGTTTGCCATAGATTCTGCCCTGAGCCTGGAGGAGAGGGCAAACAAAAGAAGGTTAACACTTTTCAACAACCAGTTGTTCCACCAACCAGGGATATTATGTCAAACAAAAGAGGTAAATGACTATCAGTGATTACCTTAAACTGAGCCTCAGGGGGTCCTGTCACAATCACCATCCTCATTTTGGAGTCTGGAGATTCAGCTGGTGCGATCTGAAGGAGATACAAGAAATACATTATTCAAATCTCAGTGTTTGGTTTGAGAAGTGTAAATGCTCTGTAGTCCTCACCATCTAGCAGTATTTGGAAAAGGAAATATTAGTATTTTCAAAATACCTTTCTGCAGATGCAAACAAAGTATTTTTCCCCTGAAAAGTGTTTAAAAGATGCATCTGTTTATCAACACACCTTAATGGAGGCTCCAGCAAAGCGGCTCAGCTGTTTGATGTGCTGTCCTTTCTTTCCAATGATTGCTCCCACCGCCTGTGCTGGGATGTAAACATGGACCGTCTCCTGTTCTGGAGCCTGAAAAAAAAAACAAAGCCAAGAAAATCCCATTAAATAAATAGCAACAGTCTTTTAAAAAGAAAAAAGAAAGAAAACTATAATCAGCTGATCTCTCAGGTAATCTTACCCCAAAGCAGCCGTAGGGGGTGCCACCAACTGCATTTCCAGGTGGTGGTGGGGGCATATTGGAGGAAGAAGGGAAAAGGCCCAGAGCACCCAGGTTAAGGCCAGGGATCAGATGTGTCTGTTGCTGCAGAGAAGGACAGCGTAGGTAAGAAACCGCAATGACAGTTACAATAGGTGGGCTGGTTCTAGTGTTGAACCAACACAAAGAAAAAAAGCACATCTCTCGTACTTATGCTGTACTACTGACATTATTTGAATACGATTCAAACAGCCTCGCCATCATATTGCTATCATAAGTTCACAGAGTTCAAAGTCCATCGCTGGGCTCCCCTCCAGTTTTCTGTGCGCGTGCACTCACATTCATCGCTGCGATGTCATTCTCGTAAGCCTCTCTGACCTTCTTCATGATCTCCACCTCAGCCTGACAGCAGGCTTCGATGGAGCCTTTAACTGTGATGGTTCTCTCTGGATTATACAGCGTCAGGTCCTGGAGACTGCACACAGAGACGGCACACGGCGAGGTGTTACTCACTGATGTGGCTCAACTAGAAATTTTATCCGCTCATGGGTGAGCTGCAGTGAGGCGTCTTTCTGTGCTTTAAATCAATAAATCATTCACCTCAGCTAATACACAACCACAAGTTAGTGTGTGTCTTACGGGGAAATGGTGATCTTGGTATCCGTGTCCTGCTCAATTTTCTTCAGGTTGCGTCCCTCTTTCCCAATCAGCCGTCCAACAAAGTTGTTGTGAGCCATGATCTTCAGAGGGACCTCATCAGCACTGCAAGTGGAACCCACTGTTATTTTCATGCATGCTGCTATAGAGAACTCATCAGCTCCAGGATCAGTTTTACTGCATTAGGTTGTTACCGTGCTGGATCACTACGATAACTTACGTCTTAGTGTCTTTGGCCTCCTGGTGCATGATGTCCAGGATCATGCGACAGGCAGCTGAGCAGCCCTCAGGGGTAGAGTGAATGCTGATGGGCTTCTCAGCAGCACCTGCATTCTCCTTGCGGTGGACGTCAATCCTGCAGCAACAGAAAGAAATGCACACATGGAATTGTGTATGTCAATTCTGACAGAGGGAAAAAGCTCAAAAGCAGAGTTTTAAAATATTTAAAAAAGCATTTTTTTAACAAGAACCAGAGTGTCTCGATACAGTTATGAAAGCAGATTTTTCTTTCTAAGAGCAATAGATATCAAACTTTTAAATTTGAGCATTTAAAATCATACATTTAATCTGGAGTGTTTAGGAAAAGGTTTCATATCAGAACGCTCTCATCCATCCATCAAACTATCTTACAGATCATACATTAAGTGTGAAATAAACCCATCGCGCTGTTACCCACTTGCTCTGTGTCTGCTTGGTGATGTTACGAATGGTGGCTCCTTCCTTGCCGATGATTGCGCCAACGTACTGTGTGGGCACCAGCAGTCTCAGAGGGATGTCGGCATGTGGAGGTTTGGAGGGCATCCCAGAATTTGGGGACCCACCGCGGGGTCCGCCCCGGGGCCCGTAGCCAGGTCGCCGGCCGTTATCAGGCCCCCGCTGGCCTCCCTCCAGTTCAGAGGTTTCATCGGGGATGTAGGAGACACGCAGGGCATTGTTTTCAAACTGGTATCCATTCAGCTTCTGGATGGCTCTGAGGACCCAGCACAGCAGCAGTAAGTCATATTTACTTTGATTATCGACACGGCACAGTTTTAAGAGGTCACCGCAACAAACATATACATATATATATATA